ATTAAGGTTTATTATCATTTTCTTCCCAACAAGTTTTTAAGATGAGGAAATAATTTGTTGTTTCTTTGCCCAATTCCTGGTGCTACAAGAACTGGGTTGCAGCTTCTGCTGTTTCTTGCATCATATAAAGTCTCTTGGAAGAATGGCCTGGACTCCCATGTGGACACTGCAGTTACCCATGAGTTTGGTGTAGTACTCTGACCAGTTTCCATCAACAGGTCCCCTGGACATTGAAACCATTCTGGACTAACCTTAAGGTTTCCTCACCCTCTTGGACTTTGCTTAATTGCTTTGCATGGAGTGACACAGATTAAGTAAGTCTTATGCCTCTTGTACCTACATGTCTACTTTATCATCACAGATTTTACTCCCTAGTGTAAATTGTTTTCAAACTCCTTCTTTTCCTGCCTACTAGCATAAATTCAGGTTAAGATTTTCCTGTCCTCCCGGAATATTATATTTTAAAAACCAGCTAGGAGATTTAAAGCACTTTGATGGAGGTATCCTGTGGATGTCTGTTCATTTGACAAATGCTGATGAACTAGTGCAGACTTAGAAGCATGCGTGGATCTAGTTCATGGACCCCCATTGGCGAACATGGTCCATAGAACCTTTATTGACAATTTAAACTCCCTATCATTTAGTACATCTCCATCAGAGAAGAGTAATAACAGGTGAGGCCTGAGAGATGTGTGGGACCTGGATTATGAAGGGTTTTTTAATGTTGTGCAAAGAGTTAAGATTCTGTTTTAGAGGGAATGTGGAATCACTGAATTATTTCAAGCTTCAACCTGATCAGATTTGCATATCAATAATGGGCCTTAGCCTTAGGTTCTCATTACTTCTAGCTTCTTGCAAATCCAGACCCCTCTGCAGAAGGAATGGGAAGCACCTTTACTCTATCCAAAACAACTCCATAGAAAGCTCTGTTGCGCACTGCCAATTGAGATCTACTGAATCAAGTGTCATGAGAAGTGAAGAAATAAATAGTTTATAACCTGGTAAGCAATTGATACACAAAATTTAAATATTAAATGTTTTTAATGAGTTTATATCGTCAATAAAGCTTCTAAGGGCCATTTCCCCCAAATAGTTTTGCAATAAGGCAATGTTAAAACACCATTGGAAAATATCAGTGTAAATTTATGATGGGTCCCCCATCATTAGGTCAAAATAGAGCTTTCTGTGTATGTCCTTTACAACTCACGTTAAATGTGAATTCCAATAACACAGGAGCCATGTAATATGTGTTCACAGTGGGATGGAAGGGGAGCCGTGTTGCTCATAGCTTCTTGGAATCAGGCTTATAGTCACAGGTCTAGAAGACTATTCTTACTGGTGCTATCAACTTAACACAATTGCTTGTTATCATAAAGAGGGGAAACACTGGATCTACCCAAACCTAGCCTCAAGGAGGATATCTAATGTTTTTAAAATTTTTTTATTGATTTCAGAGAGGAAGGCAGGAGAGAGATAAAAACATCAGTGATGAGAGAGAATCATTGATTGGCTGCCTCCTGCACACCCACTACTGGGGATCAAGCCTGCAACCAGGCATGTGCCCTGATTAGGAATCAAACAGTGACATGTGACCTCCTGGTTCATAGGTTGACACTCAACCACTGAGCCATGCTGGCTGGATGAGGATATCTAATCTATTTAATAAAGAGCCAGGGTCGTAAGGACCATTATGACTGAAGGCTCAACCAGACTGGAAGTCAGTGCTGGGTTTCCATGGCGACCAGCACTTACTGGGGCCACTGCAGGTGCCCTGACCCAGCACTGACTGCCTAGGGGGCTGCGGATCAGGCCCGGAGAGAGGCCTGCAGAAAGAGAGGCAGCATCTGATCTGTAGCCTCTGTGGCAGCCATTGATCAGAACTTGCCTCTCTTTCTCTCCCGGCCTGACCAACAGCCGTGCCTCCATTTCTCTCCAGGCCTCCACCGGGGCTGCTGATCAGCCCTGCCTTTCTGATCAGGCCCCATTGATAGGCCCAGAGACATTGTCTAGCATAGAAACTGGCCAATCAGAACCAAATCTGGGTGAATGTAAGGAGTCAATGGCAGACTAGGAGGTGGAGTTTTTTTTTTAAAAAAAATTGTTTTATTGCTTAAAGTATTACAAAGAGTATTACATGTGTCTCCTTTTTTCCCCTGCCCTTGACAATCCCCTGGCCTCCCCTACCCCCCAGTGTCTTATGTCCATTGGTTATGCTTATATGCATGCATACAAGTCCTTCAGTTGATCTCTTA